GGCAACGACCATAATCGAAAGAACAAGGTACCGACGGCGCCGTACTGCTGAAGAAAGTTTGGCGAGACAAGGCCATCGCCGCCAATGGTCGACCTAGATTCGACTACGGTGAGTAAACGACTCGACGACAGTCGAAGTCGCCCACATGGCTAAGGCCATCAATAATATTATGGCTAAGGCCATCGCCGCTAACGGTCGACCTAGATTCGACTACGGTGAGTAAACGACTCGACGACGGTCGAAGTCGCCCACATGGCTAAGGCCATCAATTATATTATGGCTAAGGCCATCGCCGCCAACGGTCGACCTAGATTCGACTGCGGTGGGTAAAACGACCCGACGACAGTCGAAGTTACGCACATGGCTAAGGCCATCAACAGTATTAAAGGCCAAAATAAAAGGTACAAAAAGAAAAGAATAACAGCAAAAGTATAACTTCCATTATCATCCAAAAATACATGTACAAAAGGACCTATTTACGTCTCCAAATACAGCAAAACAAAATGAATACAAGTCCTAAGGGGCTTCGCCATTCTGTTTACCGCCTCCCGTCGGATCGCCATCTCCTCCATCGCCGTCCTCGGCCTGATAGGCCGCAGAGATCCAACAGCCGGATTCTAGACGGTTGACGTCTTTGGAGTTATAGCCCGCCCGGTCTGGGTAATCAGAACTATACCCACAAGTTTCACGGGCAACACGGACTATGCGCCGTTGCTCTTGAACCTCCGCCTCAGTAGCTCGACCCGCAGCTAAGAACTCCTCGAATACGACCAATCTGGCCTCGGCGTACACCCACATGTCATGCGCCTCACGATGCGCATCCTCATCAGGCCTCAGTGCAGCAGTCCGCTTGAGGACTTCAATCTCAGCCGCCTTGGCATCGAGTTCGGCGGTCATAGCGGCAACCTTGATCCGCAAATCAGCAGCTTCCGCCGCTACCCCACGGCCAACCTCCAACTCTTCTTCCTTAGACTGGAGAAGAGTCTCCAGCTCAATGTTCCGAGCCAGGGCGGTCATCAGCTGCTCATCGATCTGCTCCAACTCGGTCACCCTCCGTTTCAGCTGGGCCTCCGACTGCTCCAAACCCTCACGGAAAACCCGAAATTCCGGGTCCTGTTTGAGTAGGTCCGCCAGCGCCTGATGCTTGAGCCATAATTCCGGGTCCTGTTTGAGTAGGTCCGCCAGCTGGCTTCCTTTGCGCTCGCCGCCCCCTCTCTATCTCCAATATGAGAGTCTAAAAAAAAAAAGAGGAAAAGGAGGAAAGGCAAATTAGTATGCATCAAAGTTTACTTTACGGTACATGAAGAAAATCGAAAAATACCTGCAAGGCCGCGCCGGCGACCCTCCGGGATAGTTCCCCGTCGCTAACCCCTTGTAACGTTTCACGCTCAGCGGCCGCACATAGCAGGGTCATATCCGTTGCGGCCTGCTCGCTGTGTTGCAACAGGTTATACCCTCGTGGGATCAGAATTCGGCGGTTAGATCTACCTGCCGTCATCTCCACACGGGCCGGACCCCGCGTTAACGCATCTGCATCCGCCTGGGTGGCCTTAGGGCCCACCCTCTCGGCATCATCACCTGCTTCTCCAACGGCAGTCGACGAGCCGCTCTCCGGAATGCGTGGTGGGCTGGCGTCGAGAACCGCCCCCCCTTGGGGAGCCGACCTCCCGGAACGGATGGCATCCGCCATAAAAACTGGCCTTGACTCCCGATGGGGCTCGCTCGCCCCCTCGTCTTATGAGGCTATCCCCTTGTCGGTTATCAACCGACGTCTTTTCCTTTCTGGCGGCTCCTCGCTCTCAGAAGTCTCCTCCACGGCCCGTGGGGAGGGCATTGAAGGAGTCGCTCCCCTTATGGACGCCGCCACGGGTAGCGGTTGAGGAACCCCCACAGCGCCCTCACTGGGCGAACCACAGGGTATATACCCGTCTTCAGAATCAGTCCCCGCCCCAGGTAAGGTGACGACGTTCTTTTTCTTCTTCTTAGGAGCGCTCCGACCTGCCAACACGAATAAGTCAGGAAACGAGAACGTAGGAATTACCAAATCGTAGCCAAAGAATTACCTGACGGGCCGTACTGTTGAAGAAATGCAGCCCAGGTACGTCATTCCTCCGCATAAGGTATTATTCTTTCCACCCACGATTTAATGTCATCAATGAGCTGGGGTGGAGAAGCCCTCGCTGCGAATAAAAAAGGGAGAAAAGCAAAGAAATCACAATGGCCGTATGGTCAAAAGCGCAAGCAGCCCTGAATTCTACGAATAGAAATACTTACATTCTGGATTCCATCTTTCCGGGAACCCTTCGGGATTCGACACCAGGTGCTCCGTCCTGATGTAGAAATACTTACGCCAAAAGCGGCGGTTGGGCTTATCATCGGCTTTAACAACTAAGCCCCTTGTGCCCCAACCTTTTAACTGCAGCATGGTACCCCTCAGGTAACTAGCGCTGAATAACTGTAAGAGGTGGTGGACCGAGACGNGAATATCTTTTTTATATTATGAGGCATTTTGGTTTTAATGAATCTTGGATTGATATGATTTGGAGACTTATGTCTAATATTTGGTATTCTATAAATATCAATGGGAATAGACAGGGGTTTTTCAATTCCTCTAGGGGATTAAGACAAGGGGATCCTTTATCTCCCTCTCTTTTTCTTATTGGGGCTGAACTTTTTTCAAAATTAATGGAGTCTTTAAATAATCATGATTTTATCCCTTTCTCTATAGATAGTCATGGTCCTGTTATATCTCATTTATGCTATGCTGACGACACAATTCTATTTTCTTCAGCTGAACCTGAATCCTTGAAGATCATGATGGTAAAGATGGAGACTTATGAGAAAATCTCAGGACAACTAGTGAACAAAGCCAAATCTGGTTTTTATGTCAACTTCCAAGATGATGATATAAGAATCAACCAAATCAAACAGATTACTGGATACAATCACTGCCACTTTCCAGTGCAATATCTTGGATGTCCTATCTATATAGGAAGGAAAAAAGTTGTTTATTTTAACAACATGGTGGCTAACATAGCCAAAAGGCTCCAAGGATGGCAAGGTAAATTTCTAACCTATGGTGGCAAAGCTGTTCTTATTAAATCTGTTTTGCAGGCAATTCCACTTCACACTCTATCAGTGTTACATCCTCCCAAGGCAACTTTCTCCCAGATTAAAAAGATCGTCTCTAACTTCTTTTGGGGAATGGATGGCAACAAAAATAAGAAGCACTGGATTGCTTGAAAAGACATGTGCTTCCCAGTCGAGGAAGGGGGAGCTGGTTTCAGATCTCTTAAAGACACATGTGATGCCTTTTCTGCTAAGATGTGGTGGAAATTTAGAACTAAAAAATCCCTTATCAAAGATTTTCTCGAAGCTAAGTATTGTAAAAGGTTTCATCCTGTTGCAAGAAGAAAAGCTCAAAACCAATCTCATTCTTGGAGAAGAATGATGGACATCAAAGAAAAGGTAGAACCTTATATCTCATGGAATCTTGGAAGAGGGGAGATCTCCTTCTGGTGGGATTCTTGGACAGAATTTGGGCCCTTGGCTCAACTGGCGATCAACACCAAGACTCCTAAAAGAACTATGGTCAGGGAGTTCTACCATCAAAATACTTGGAATCAAAGTAAATTGAGGAGAATCCTCCCCGTGCATGTGGTCAACTATATCAAAGACATCACCTTCAATATTAATAACGAAGATAGACCCATATGGACCCCGGATCCTTCAGGGGACCTCTCTTGCAAATCTGCATGGCACACTTTGAGAGCAAAGAAAGGGACTACTTTTACAGGTATGACTATTTGGCATAAGAAGCTTCCTTTTAAAATTTCCTTTTTTATGATGAGAGTGCTAATGGATAAAGTAGCAACTGATGTTTCTATTAAAAGATTTGGGGTGAATATTGCTTCTATATGTAACTGCTACCCCAATAAATATTATGAGGAATTTACTAACCATCTGCTCAGTGAAAGTCATATTGCCAATCTAGTCTGGTCTTTCTTTTGTAACTCCTGTGGTATCAGACTGTTCCAAGACCAGGTAAGACACAGAATTATGAGGTGGTGGTTGACTAAGTCTAAAAATGAAGTTCAGAAGACAGTTCTTCAGTGCCTGCCCTCAATCATTTGCTGGCAAATTTGGAAGAACAGATGCTCTGCTAGGTTTGATGAAAAGCGCATGTCCCATCATTTCATCATCCAACAAGTGATCAAAATGACAAATATGCTTATCCAGACGAGGTTCCCAGAGCTTCAACTCCAACACCTATGGCAGGACACGTATAATAGAATTGAGAAGCTTTCCCCTGCTATTCAGTGTCAGATTGTTTATTGGCAAAAACCTCCAGTGGGCTGGGTTAAACTTAATGTCGATGGCTGTAGCAAAGGTAACCCTGGCCCGGCAGGTGGTGGTGGTCTTATCAGAGATCACCATGGTGTTTTAATTGGCGCTTTTGCAGAATTCTATGGAGATTGTAGCTGTAATATTGCGGAAGCTAAAGCCATGATGCGAGGCATCAAAATGTGCATTTCAAAGGGCTTTACAAATGTTATAGTTGAATCGGACTCATTGATTCTCCTTAACTTGATCAGAAGGAGCCTCCCTGGAGATTCAAAGATACTATTGAACAAATCTACAACATGACCAAGGATGCTAACTTTCTTTTTTGTCACACCTTGAGGGAAGGAAACAACTCTACTGACAAGCTTGCTAACCTGGGCGAAGAATCCAAAATTGATTCTATCTTCAATGGGGCTGTATCATTACCTTCGAATGTTAGAGCTTCAATGAAGTTAGAAGTTGACGGGGTCCCTAACATCAGATTCAGACAGAAGAAAAATAAGTTTGTTATCAATGTCAACAACTAGCAGCAAGTTTCCCTCTCACACCTTTTTGTACATAGCATCCTTGAGTGTTACCACAAATTACCCTAGGATGCACAACTTCCTTCACACACAACCAAAATACTTTTGTTCAAATGTGTATCATAGGTTAGATGTTATCACCTATCACACTGCCTTGGAGGCCAAAGCCTACGTCCTCCTCCGTGTAATTATTATTTTTGATATATATACAGGTTAGAGTCACGCCTCAACTCCTCCATCATGATGATGGAACTATAAATTTAAAAAAAAAAAAAAAAACTTACCAGCTGATAATTTATCACTACCAGTACCAACACAAAGTGAAAAAAAGGTCTTTTGGCGGAAGAAAATTTGAATTTCTAAAATTAGTGCTGTTCATTGGATACAGTTTCTTTCATTTCTGATCTTCTAATAGCAAATCCCTATTTTTTCGAATCGAATTTAATTCTTTTCAGTTAAATTTGATTTTGCTCGGTTTAAACTTTATTGGGTCTTTTACAAGTTAGCCCTCCAATTATGAAAACGTTAAAATTTCCAATTACTAACTTGACTATACAAAATCTCGACTTTCAAAGCGCAAAAAATTTACTAGTTTCAAACCTTGTTGGTCGGGTTGGACTCCTACCTTTCTCATTTTTCTCCCCTCTCCTCATGTATTATAATTTTTTTAAGAAAATTTATGCAATAGATGACGGGAATGATGATTTGGGAACTACTTTTTGTAAAGGTCCATCTCAGAAAATGAACGAAATAGGAAGTGCAACTCATATTTAAGCAAAAGTTGCAGGTTGCTAATTACAGATCCCATACAAAGAAATGAACAAAAGTTTATATACGATAAAAACAACATTAATCTTGGAACTACATAGCATTTTATTTCTTTGGTTGTTGAAGAATTGAACTTCCAAGAGCCTATGTGATAAGCTGAGATATTCTAATTTCTAACATATTTGTCACATTTCGTCTATACAAATTCAACTTATAATTATATGGATGTACATTTATTAAATGAATGCACCTATACATCCCTATAATTCTGTACATCTTCCATTTATAATGAGCAAAAAAATGAGATGATAAGTTGTGTATTCATTCACACTGAACATCAACTAGCAGAGACTTATGAACTCCAGGACACGGATCACTGCCGAATTTCTTATATGACTGAGCAATAGTGCATTTCCCCTTCCCTGAACAGGCCTGGAATTCATATAAAACTTGTGTTATTATTAAGTGGAGCAAGGGTAGATTTTGGATTCGAATCTGTGACGTGCGCGCATACCTTTGTGACTGAAATTGCGTCGAGAGTGATGTTAAGAGGGTTGCCCATTTCTTCCTCAAATACAACTACTAGGTTATTTCTAGGTTTGAGAAATGACCTTGGAACATTGTACCTACAAATACACACTTGAACATTATTATACGGCACTCATGTCCTTCTCTTGCTCACAAGCATATATATCTAATAAATTGAATTTATACACACTGACGGTGTAAAGAATTTTATATATAACTAAGAAATTTAACTAAATTAATGTAATAATAACTTGCCAAGTTTGTGAAGGAAGACCTGCAGATGTGTGAAATGAGACCCAATATCTGCCGATACTTTGGCCATTAACCCAAGCTTCACCTTTTCCCATGGACCCAAGATTTACAGCAATTGGACCATCACCCTTGGGTGCACTGAAAATGGACTGTGCAATTGCAACTGACTGAATTATTGCTCGACTAAAATAACAAAATATTTAGCAGAAAATAAAGTTTAATGTAGACATAAGCATTTTAAACTAGGTGATGCAGGAAAAGACCAATATTTCTGAAAGAATAAAGAAATTGATTTAGAGAGAAAAGAACAAACACTAACTAGGGGGTTACAAATAATAATATCCTAAATCAACCATTACATGAGTAATTATAACTCCAGTTTATAAAGATTAATCCTAACAATAACATAAACGATAAACAATAAATTTCTAAAAATTGAGGTAGTAAAAAGAGCCTTGTGTAGCGGTAAAAGTTGACAAAGTATGATCAGGACGTGACAGGTTTAAGGCGCAAAAACAATGTCGCAAAAATGTAATATAAAGTTGCATGCAATAGGTCCGAACAGCCTATTATACAATTTATATGAAGGATCCATATACTTGCCTTGTACCATGCGAGCTGTTGAGAAGAGCCTAAGCTGCTCCAATTAGCATTCTTTGATCCTTCATATGTGTAAATATGTAACTTTTCACCTAACATTCCAACCTTAAACACACCATTTCGAAAAGATACGTAAGCTTAAACATAACAATTATGCTCTCTAAATACATAATTATGCTTAACTTCAAATTAAAACCAGAGGTTTTCTGTTTAAAAAAATTAATGGATGGAATAATTAGCTGAAGCTAATAAATATCAAAGGCAATATTATGGGTGCCCAGCAATTACCTGATAACCCCAGGGGAAAACAGTGAAATTTTTGACCCCTCGACTGTTTTGAATAATCACTGAACGTACACCGAGAGACCTGCGCTCAAGAAATGCTCCTGAATCCTGCAATTAGAAAAAAAAGAAAGTTTTTAAGTAGTTACTAATTAACAACACACAATTGTAAGAAAATTAAACTATAATACTGTAATTGACAATGTATTCAGGTATAGAGAGTGATCTTTATACTTAATATTAATCCAGGAAAACTTACAGAAAAAATGAAAAATGCAGTATTAATTAAGTACAACCGTGCACTCAGTAATGAGATTTGGTTTGTCCCTTTATTTAGACCAACCGTGCTTTCTAGTGTAAATGATGTATTTCTAAATTTTCCGTGACCAAAACCTACAAAATGAAAAGACGACAACAAAAAATTAATATTATGAATGATTTCCATCCAATTTTACTTTTCTAGTTAGTAACTTTATGCTTAAATAGGATGCCCTTTGATATTGGAAGATCCAACAGATTAACGATTCTTTACAGAACTGCTCACCCACTGGAGCTCCATTCACAAAAGCATGTAAAACATGGCCTAAGGACTTCACGCTTAGTTTAGCCTGCTGCTCCTGGGAATCCTGCTCGAAACTAACACATAAATTTTGGCATATGTTAGTAGATAAATAATAAATTGAAAGAGGTTAATGGCAGTTCTTATTGTGCATAAGAAATTTTCGTTAATTTGGTATTAAAAGCAGTCCTGTTTCTGTAAGTTATGTGACATACTACGGAGTGTTTGGAGTTGAATTACCTGGCAGTATACCAAAGATAATCGGAGGCATCTTTTGTAGTATTTGTTTGCTCCAGTAATGTTTGTGATCTCAGTGTTGTTGCATCAAATTGCGGAATAACCTCTTGGAATTGTTCCCATTTCTCAGCTGAATCAAACTTGACCACTGGCCTCCAAGTTCTTGTGTCGAATTGAGTATTCACCTATCGCACATGATTATTGGTACGTACAAATCAGAACATTTCTTACATGGTCATGGTCTGTTAGTAAGTAGGTAAGCCTATTAGGCTCTTGAATACCGAAAAGAGCAAATTAAGTTAATCTCCTTGATACTCCATCTGTATCAATTTATATGACACTCTCCCTTTTTACTTTGTTGTGCGTAAAATTGACAACATTCTATCCTTTTTGCCTCGATTACATGCTCTTGTAGTCATAGAAATGTCATAACTACTAATAATATGTGCAAAACGTCTTTAATTTTTTTTTTTTTAAATTTCATGTCCGTTTATATATATATATATATATATAACGAAACAAGTAAAAAAAGATGTGATCTGATGTTGAAAATGAAGATAGGTAGGTACCTTGGCTGTATTGAAGGCTACAATGTTGCAGTCAGGTAAGATGCTTATAGATTTTGGAGGTAATTGGTATGTCAAATTTTGGAATCGCACCGTTGCACTTCTTCGATTATTTGCGTTCACCAGGAATGCCGCACAAGCTCCTGAATCTCCACTGAATACATAAGCCTGCAGATTTGAAGTATACAGTTTGCCATTGAGTCATTTGATTCATGGCTCAGTAAATTCTTGAGAAATGAAATGGCCTTGTGCTACCTCCTGTAGTTGGCCTAAAGATTGCATGGTGGGAAAACTAGAAAGTATGGCTTCCGAGCATAACTTTACTGCTGCATGTAATTCCTTCAGATGACCCCATTTTGGTTCTCTAATTAAACCTGCATCACAATGCGTATTATTGAGTTTAAGTTCTATGCACTGACCATGTAAATTAAAGTAAATCTCTATGATGTACATTAATATGTAACCTGATGTTGTCACATGTTAAAATTCACTGTAAAAGTTGTTAGTGTTATATATAACTTGAATCCAAAAAGATGGATGTTAGGATAACTTACCATACTCATCAAGTGGAGCTTGATCATAATAACTTGTTATCATAAATTCAGCAGAAGTCTTGCCAAAATTTGTGCCTCCATGATACTGATAGTGAAGCCAAGAAAGATTTGAGAGCCCAATGAAATATTAGCTCTATTTTTAGTTACTAATATCATAGGCCACTTGGCATTTCAGGACTATAGTAGGTGTAGTAAAACCTTTCCCTCTAAAATAGACGAAAATATAAAATTAAGATATGATTAGCATTATATTAGAGGGTATTGTTGAATTTACCATGTAATAGTTTATGTACGTTCCATTCTTCCTTGCGATGAACAGAGCAACTTGAAAGGCAATATCTTCTGCTGATCTAAGTGTTACATTCTGACCATACACTTGATAGCTACAAAATAGAAATAGAAATAAAATAAGCAAGTGTTAGTTATGAATAAAAATTCTGAATTTTGTAGAGTTGGATAATGAATGAAGTCTTACAAGCGCTTATTTGGTGAATTTGGCCCTTTAAATGTTTCTCCACATTTCATTCCATTGCACGTGTTAATCTGTAGAGAACATAGTTAATTTTAGTGGTGTAGAAAAAGTGGAATTAGTACTATGAAAAATAAAGTAATTTATATGTATGCGTTAAAATATATTGATGATTTGAAGTATTTACACTTACAATAGGATGAGGAGCATCATCTTGTTTACACATGACCCATGGCACACCAGTCTGAAGTTCCACAGCCATCTTTACTGCCCAACGAACATAAGGGGGCCCATCTTCTCTGAATGCTTTTTCTATATTTTGATATTCGTTCTCAATCTACATGTATTTTTTTTAAAAAAAATGTTGACACATGTATTTATATATAATATAGAAATGGCATGGGATGGCTCATCAGAATGTTATGGATATTTAACCTGTGAGAGTATGATTGGACCTCCTCGTGAGGCATATAACCCTTCCGACTTCATCAAGTTCACTATTTTTGTGGTAAAGTTTTGCATGTATAACTGTCATGTAAAAGAGAATATAATTGAGTTAATGTTCCTACCAATTCAAACAATATATCAAAGTGGTTTAATTGAGAATTCAAAGCATAAAACTGTATTTTAAAGGTGTAAGATATATTCGATACAAATCAAAACTTTTATCAGAAGAAAAATGGGTTATATATTACCTTAAATGGTTCATTGTCAGATCGATAAACAATGCCAGGGACATCATGTAACCAAAACGGGAAACCCCTGTAAAATTCAACTTAATTAACTGTAAAAATTAAATCCTTTGGGGTGAAAAAGAAATTATTAGTCAAATTTAAATATTTATTACTTTACCCATAAGTCCATTCACCCTCAATATAGGGCCCAATACGAAGGCAAGCGTATAGACCTTGTGCTTTAATTTGCTTGATGAATGCTACTATGTCACGTCCTCCACTAAAATCATACTGACATCACATTGAAAATAAGAAATCAGTAAAATCACATTGAGAAGGAAAAAAAAAAAGCACTAAAATTTGAGAGATAGAGAGTGTGTATTCAATAAAATACCTGTCCAGGACGAGGCTCATGAAGATTCCAAAAAACATAGGTCTCAATCACATCTATTCCACCTTGTTTTGCTTTTGATATTAGAGATGGCCACATCTATCACAAAGAACAAGCAAAAATAGAGTGGTCACATTTTGCACCCCGGCCCGAACTTTATGTTACTCATGATATAGGTTCTTTATCCAACGCCATACATATTGAAAGTTCATGCAGGAGCAAGTAATATAAAGTTAAAAGCGAAAATAGTTTCTCATACAATGAGGAAAATCATTAATTCCCTTCTAAGTTTGATAGAAATAATAGAAAATGATCTTCTCATGAAAGATAAGCATTTAGAAAATAACTTTCATCATATGATATACACATTAATTACCCTTCTTTCAAAATTGCATCATATAAAGTTAAATCCAAAAATGACTCAAGCAGGAGAGTTTAAAACGAGGGTCATTGCTTAACGAAGTTATTGAAAGTAGGTGAACAAAGTCACTTTTTTTTTTTTGTATCATAAAAATTACTTAGTATCTTTTATTGTTTCACTCAAAAGTTACTCAAGCCGAAAAGTAAATATATCCAGATTATATTCAATAATTTAATAACCATTTAAGTAATAAACTTTTAAAAAGGAGCTAATTAAAGATCGTTAGCTCGTGGACGGTTGTTCGACAATTCTTTTTCTTTGGATTCTTTTTATAAAAGTGGCAAATCCAGCAACCAAACAAACAAAAGAGGAAAAGGAAATAACAATATTGGCGGCGATGGTTATATAAATGAAAATCTTGTTAGGAAAAATTTATGGTTGTTAGTAGGGAAAGGGACTAATTATATCATCCTACGATAGTAGTTTTGGCCTTTTGCATTGACAAAGTTCTTTTATTGTCGTGCTTTTCCTTGCTCCTTTCCCTTCAGACCTTTCTCTATTAATCTTTTAGCCATCTTGATTTCTATATATTTTTTGAAGTACACTTCAAATATTTAGTTTCTAATAATTTGTTTGGCTAAGCCGTAGAAATCAGCTTATTTTGAGAAATACTTTTTTCAGAAGTGCTTTTGAAAAAAGTACTTTTGGACAGAAGCAGTTTGTGTTTGGCTAATCACTTTGAAAAGCACTTTTGAGCAATAATTTGTGTTTGGCCAAACTTTTCAGAAAGTGCTTTTAAGTATCAAATTACGAATAAGGACATGAATAGATTTACTTAATAGTTAATATTATAAGTAAATAAATTACCTCAAAAATTTGTTATTACAGGCAATAATAAAATCTTTTTATTTTATTTAAGTAAAATATAAAAATAAAATTAAAAAGTACATAATTCTTTTAATATAAGTTAAATATATTAATATTCATTCAACAAATATAAAAGCATTCACCCCTAAAGTCACTATATATTAGAAAGCTATCCTAAGAATAAGAAGAAATACTTATACATTAATATCCTAAGTATCAGGTTTAACGGTTATTTTGGTATATACTACTTTGTTAAGGGTATTTTAGGTAATAAGAAAAGTCAAAACTGCTTCTGCGTCTGCTTTTGGGAAGAAACTAATTTTTTTGCTTCTTAGAAACTGGTTCTGCTCCCCCCCCCCCCCCGCCAACCAACACACACACTAGAACGAACTACTATAGTATATCGTACTATTACTCTATTACGTTACGTAGTACTATACTTCTAGTAACGTACGTAGTACTACGTTACGTACTACTTAGGTTACG